CTTGATTACCTACTTCCCAGATCCATTGTTCACCACCCACTCTGGGGTCTCACCAGCTTGGACTTCTTGCCATCTGGGGACATATGTTCCCTTTGCCCAAAATAACGTGTCCCTCTCTCCACCTGTTGAGATCAATCCTTGAAGGATTATTCAATAAATAGTACTGGAACAATTGGTTCATCATTTGAAGGATTTTTTAGATTCTTCACTTCATACTATACACCAAAATATATTCCAGATAAACTAGAGTTAAATATAAAACATAAATAAAACAATAATCATGCCACATAAAAATCAAACCATAAAAGTTCTCAAAAATGTCTTCAAAAATGTTATTAAAGGGAAGAAGACCCTAACCTTAAAAACAAAGAATAACATTTCAAAAAAAATAAACAGTAGATCAGTCTCATTAAATAAACTTGACTCACTGACACTAAATTGTTAAGACATGAACAAAGGGATAGTCCTTTACATGAAATGAATGTTAGAGTCCCCTATACAAGGAAGTTGCATTAGAGGAGAAATTATAAAGTTGTTTAGTTAGTAAGAAATTAGAGGAGGAGTTGGGTAAGCTTCTGTCATGGAGGTCAAGTGATATACAACATTGCATTCCTTCCCCAGGAATTTGAAATATCTGCATCCTATCCAAGGATGGAAATATTCAAGGCCCACAGTTTGGCGTCTTCCCCTGAACTTTCCTTCTCCCCGGAGCCTGATGTTAAATCCACCTTATTTGCTGGTGACTCTCAAACCTGATCTCCACTACTCACCCCTTTTCTGGACTCACACTGAATCCACATTTATTGATCATTCACTGTAATTAGGCTTTCTACTAAATATTTTTTTAGGATTATTGCCCAACAATCCTACAAGGTACTTTTTTTTTAGTGCAGATATCCCCAACATTCTCTTTAATTCCTCTTTTTTGGCCAGGTGCAGTGGCTCACCACACCTGTAATCCTAGTACTCTGGGAGGCTGAGGCAGGTAGGTAGCTGGAGCTCATGAGTTCGAGACCAGCCTAAGCAAAAATTGAGACCCCCGTCTCTACTAAAAATAGAAAAAAACTGACGCAAGAGGATCACTTGAGCCCAAGAGTTGGAGGTTACTGTGAGCTATGATGCCATGGCTCTCTACCCAGAGCAACAGTTTGAGACTGTGTCTCAAAAAAAAAAAAAAA